CCAATTATCAACAAACAAACTCTTCAATAACCTCATTGTATGACTTACCGGACGGTGCGATGAGTGGACAGGCGATACTGTAGGTGACGGTCATCGCGAAAATCAACAAAAATCGCGGATAACTGACCCCAAAGGGGAAGTCAAACACCACTTGCTTTCTGGCGTTTTTGTACTCAGCGGACGAACGGGTTAACAGATAGTAGAAAAGGTAGAGAAAGAGCTCCGGCAGTCGTAACACTTCCACAGTATTACCCAAAAAGGCCGCCTGTAGTGCGTAATTGACGAAAAAGGCGCCGTTGTCTACGGGGAACAGACACTCCCAACGGAACCGTTTGGTCTCATTGGTCGACAGAATCACCTCTAAGAAGGCATTTGTACTGAAAATACAAAAACATAAATCATTTCATTTGATAACTCAACCGATTTGCACACAAAACAAAGCCTACAATACCTGACAAAACCGGTCGACGGGAGTATGATAACCATCATAAGCAGGAATATATAGACTTTCCACATAACCGCGTGATTCAGAGCACTGATAGTCTTGAAGGGCAAGTACTCGCACGCCGTGATCACAATAATTGGTAACACAATCGTCATCAACATCAACGACAGTGGACTCAAGAAGTCGCTTAACGTCGAGCTCTAGAAAACCGCGAAAGACGAAGCAAACAATGAGTACATTGAATGGCGAACAGGTAGGGAAAGGGTGTCTAACAATCTTATTGAGTCCGTCGCGTATTGCCTGCTGATCGGCCACCAGTTCGGTCCACTTGAGTAGAATCGCTGGCGTCGACAGGAAAAAGAAGATAACGAATAGAAAGAGATAAATGAAGAACTTCCGCAACCAAATCCACTTGTAGTCCACCGTCAGGTCCTTCCAGTTGATGTCGTCCGGATAGGGCGCGTACGACACCTGCCATCGCGACAGTTCCAGTGAGTCCACAGGCTTCTGGTGGAACACCGATGTCACCCAATCCACGGCTGAGATAAGGCATTGACAGCACAGACACGTGTTCTGCCGTTCCTTCAGATACTTATAAATTCTAATCGTAACAGAAATGCAGATAATTATAGCATAAAACTAGACGATTAGTCCGAATGTCTGTCCACTCACTCCATGCACTGCTTCTCAGTCTGAAATGTGATGAATACGGAACCGGTAGGGCTGGCAAACGAGTTCACTAACTCTTTTTTAATGTCGCCGTTGATCTGCTCCTGACGTTCGCTGTAATACTCATACCCGTCCACAGTTTGACAACAGCAACAGCAACAGCAGCCTAACTGTCCCATACAGTAGGGTTTGATTGTCATATTCTTCGAGGCGCTGTTATGTCGTTGACAGTAGTCCTTAGCGTTCACCACATTCTGGTACTCGAGTTCCAGCGCTTGGAGTTCATTGAAATCGTAGATCACTTGTATGCCAGTAATGGGACAGTCGGGGAACGACTGCTGGAAATAGTTTATGAGAATCTCTTTCGTGTTCTTAAACTTCGGTATCCGTCGGATCAGTAGAGTTCTTCGGGTGATGTGCTCCTCATCTGATTTAATCACTTTCGAGAAGTGGTTCATCGCAAACACCCCCTAAGCAGACATAACACACCATTAGTACTACTGACGAGGAATACAATATGATAGCCATTCATACCATTGGCATAATAATGGCGGCCAACACCGCGTGAATCCAAAACAGGTGAGACTTCTCGACACTGAGATTACCGATCGTTGTTTTGCCGAATGGCGTCCCATTCGAGTCCACTATACAGACATGAAATAAATTATTTGATGAGTTCGTCAATCAGTTGATTACCATAACAACAGTCATACCATTACTGCCGTGAATATTGACGGGCAATACGATGACAATACACACAAAGCTGAGTAGAGCCAGGAAATAGATGATATACCGCTGGAAGACCAGGTACTGGTAGGCATCCCTGCCTTTCGTAAGCAATATCTGGTCGTCTTTAATGCGGATGAAGTCGAGGAACCAATTGGCGGACTTCCGCAGCGATTCGCTGGACTGTTGGACACAACAAATCGGTTGACAATTAGTTTAAAGACAATATTTCTTATAACTATTCATCAAATCTCTTACTCGAGAGATAACCCCTTGAATGCCCGAACTATCGCTGGATGTCTGTCCACTACTGCTCTCCACGCCATGGGACACACCATTCGTAGGCTTCTCCTTATCCAAGTCGACCAGATTCTGATGCGACCCGCGATTGAACTGTATTTCGATGGCCTCCGTGCGAGTCGTCTCATCGCTGGTTATCTCCTCAATTGAGTAGATGTCTGTCGTGGCGGTGGACCTATTGATGGGCGACGACCTCACCGGTGACCCAATCGGTGGGAATATGAGTGTCGAGTCGTTCAGCAGATGGGAATGGTATGCCTGAGGGGCGCACGAGTGGCCGCCTGTCGTCTCGCCGGCAGTCGTATCGCTGTTTCTGTCGCCGTAAATGAACTGAAGCCACGAATCACTGGAACCGATAGAGACAGAGATCATTACAATTGACTCATCGATCAACGCGCGGATCAACTCAAGCGATCCGTTTGTGTCAGTACTCAGTGGCGTCCGACGTGTTGTCACTTTGATTGTGCTGTCGATGCCTTCGCTGTCGACTTCGTGCCAATTGTCGTGTTATTATGAATATCACAATAAGTATCTGAAGAATGCAGACACCAATCAATGTCAAGCGATTGTCTCGCGGAATACCGTCGAGGAA